TGATGATTTGTAGTCTGTATAAAATGTGGGATTGTTAACCTTGTGGTATACGGTGGTGTGGTAATGAGAGGCAGTACGGATGACCAGTATATCGAGATACGGCAATACGGACCTGTTTTCCAATTCTAGGGTGAAAGAGATCTCGGGATGATAGGAGTTTAGAGAGTTTAAGATATTGATTTCTTGTCCGGTATCACATATGCAGAAGATATCATCAATATATCTCCGCCATATGTGAATGCCCGGTGCAATTTGCTGTTGGACCCAGTGGTCTATGTTGGCCATGACTATTTCTGCAAGTGGGGAGGATAGTGGGCTGCCCATGGGCGAGCCTCTGATTTGTTTGAACAACTGGTTGTTAAATGTGAAAGTAGTAAAGTCCAAACACAGTGAGGATAGTGCGACTATGGTCTCTGCGGTACGGTGATCCACCTGGTTGTCCTGTAAGAAACTAGTCAAGTGCCTAATGATAAGCTGGTGGGGGAGGGAAAGATACATGGCAACCACATCATAAGACACCATAACGGTGTTGGGGACAGGGCAGAGAGAGTTAATGGACTGCACGAATGAAGGGATATCCCTAATGGCAGAGGATTGTGTTAGCATATTTTTGTAAATATCATATACAATAGTTTTAGATTTGCAAAATATTTCTTATCTTAAATTATATTTTAACCGTCCTATATTCTTCTTATATGTAAATATATTTTAAAAACGGAATCTTATAAAAAAGCCTTTTGCCACCATGTATCTTTACCTGTAGAAGGGCGAGGCTGCCCGAAAGCTCGTAGCCCATGTATAGTAAAAATAAATAATTTTCTCTTCGTTTTTATAATCTTTTTACAATAAATAAATATATTAAAATGTTCCAAAAGTGAAAACTCTCCATTTAAAAATGCATAGAATGCATTTGGTTTATCATAACAGTATAAATTCTATTGGATGTCATAAAAAAAAGAGTCAAATAGAGTTTACATAAGTTTTTTTAATGACATAAAAATAAAATTCACTGTATGCGTTTTAAAATGGAGAGGTGGCACCCTTTGTATATAAATGTTATCCTCCCGCATCTTGTATTTTTGTATATACACTCATTGACAAGACTTAAGTAATTTATCCCATTTTAGCATGTATATCGGGATTAGGACATTAATTTTGAAATATATTTGATACATGCTGACCTTTATTGAAGACGAGATAACCAAATGTGAACAAAATTGCCTATTTAAAAAAAAAAAAAAAAAAAAAGAAAGAAAAACAGATAAATGTCGGCATCAAATACTTTCCACTTCCTTAATTTTGTCCAAGTGTGCATAAATATATATATATTAACACAAAGCAATACAAACTTCTACTGACATTACTGCGATGGAAAAAATGTATTAGGAGGGCTTGACCCATCAGTGGTGAACCCTCCTAGCGGTTTCGCCAATTTAATCCACCAGACCGCTTTTCAGAGCTCTAATACCGCATTGGACGATTCTGCTTATATACGCAGCACTCAAGGATGGAATCTCAGAAATGGTGTCAAGAAAACTATGAACATAAGCTTATAGGACAGTAGAATTACATTCAAATATTTGCATAGAGCAATGCTCTTCCGCAAACAATAAAGACAAGGCCAGTTAGGCACAAATAAACACAAAGCAATAACGCGCCATCTATACATATAAAATGAAAGGATTTAAAAGCACGAATGTTTATTTAATACATAATACAAACTTCTACTGCCCTTACTGCGATGAAAAACATATTGGGAGGGCTTGGCCAATCAGTAGTGAACCCTCCCAGCGGTTTCGCTAATTTAATCCACCAGACCGCTTCTCAGAGCTCTAATACCGCATTGGACGATTCTGTTTATATACGCAGCACTCAAGGATGGAATCTCAGAAATGGTTTTCAAAAATTTGAATGTAATTCTACTGTCCTATAAGCTTATGGCCATAGTTTTCTTGAAAACAATTTCTGAGATTCCATCCTTGAGTGCTGCGTATATAAGCAGAATCGTCCAATGCGGTATTAGAGCTCTGAGAAGCGGTCTGGTGGATTAAATTGGCGAAACCGCTGGGAGGGTTCACCACTGATGGGCCAAGCCCTCCCAATATCTTTTTTCATAGTAGTAAGGGCAGTAGAAGTTTGTATTATGTATAAAAGAAGCATTCGTGCTTTTAAATTCTTTCATTATATATATATATATATATGTCATATTTTATATGTTGTAGGTTGCATTTACAAGCAACAGGCCTATGTGAAACTACAAAATGGAGTCAATAAACGGATATCCGGGAGAGAAAGGGTCGATGAACGGGAAATGATAGTATAACATGTCGTTGACATTGCCCAGGTAACAAGATAATATATAAACACTGTGTCTGTCCTTGTTTGGACTCAGCTCTCTGCCCACTCTGACGTCACTATCACCATATAAATTGGGTTTCTCTGAGCCCAGAGGGAGGAGAAGTTATGTAGGTAAGTAGACATGCTGCCTGATTGACCAGAGCGGTTTAGTGGGAAAAATAAAATCAAACATTGAATCAAGGTTTTTACATTATATATTCTGCCTTTGTTGGCCGTTTTTGATTTTCCATTTTTTCAAAATGCGTTGGCCAAATATTATGGAGCAAGCCTAAATCGATGCTCCGTTTATTTTCTTTTTCCAGTAGATTACGCTCCGCCATATAAAATGCTTATAATATATATATATTTGCATATATATATTTGTTAAAATATATGTATATAAATGTTGGTTTTGTTTGATCTCTAATAAGGCATCTCTTTTTAGAATAATGCAATCTACTATTTTGAAACCGTGAATATTTATTCACTAAATATCATGGTTTCATATCAATAAGAATAATATATATGGTAATTTAACCCAACAACCCCATATTGTATATAACTTATAACAAGATTTTAATGTTGTATAATAGAAACCCATCTGTAAATGATTATACGCATTATTGACATGTGTCATTACATCATCATATGTAATGTACTTTGTACAAACTGAGGATAAATAAATTAAACTCTGTAATAGATTAAGAGTTGAGCTAAAGAGATAGAAGTCAAAAACGTCTAAATTTGAGATAGATGGAAGTCACAAAATAACATCTAAAGATAGATTGGAAACTGTCAGGACGGCGCCAGTTTAGAATTTCACCAGTCGATCCACACTCTTCATATCTGGTGAAATGCAATGCTCCCTTTCTCAGAAAAGGTATATAAAGCCTCCGTCCTAGCCAAAAATACAGTCACTTGACAGTTACGTCACCATCTGCGTGAGCCCTCGTCGGTTGTACCCCAGGTCCACCTCATCCACTATGTAGACCAGTAAGAACTCTTTCATCTCCATCTTTCGCTCTTAGCTCAACTTTTATCTGTTCACGGAACTTTCTTAGTGCAACTGTGTCTTCGTTTTTTGTGCATGGACATTCCCAAGCTTTCTACTCTGCCTCGACCACGACTGCCTGTACTCTGTGAGAACTGTTAAAGGTCTTACAAGGTGAAGAGTGGTACTGGAAAACTCCCCATCCTGACTGTTCCTCTCGGTTAACACAGTGTAGCGAGAGTTACAGGGACTCACACCATAGATTAAATCGACTGGATACTTCACCATAGTTTTAGTCGACAGGATTCTACAAGAGTCAACAGGATCTCATTACATATATAAATGAAAAAATTATAATAAATAGATATACTTCGGGTGTTGATATAAAAAAACCGAATTGCCATATCCTGACCATTCAGATGATAGTTTTAGATATAAGCAGAGTGCCACTTAGTGGTAAATATATCAAATTAACGTTGATTCAACTATTTTCATGATATTTGGCCAACCTATGTGAGCGGGCAGGATATGCTAATTTTGTTTTTAAAATATAGTGAAAAAGTGAAAAAAACGTTAATTTGATATTATTTATTATGCTTATGAGGTGATACAGCAGCGTATTTACAATTAGAGAGGAGACAAAATGAATTAAATCTAGAAAAAAGAAGTGAGGACATATCGGTCATTAAAGTCTGAGAGGCAAGGCCTTCAGCCAGTTTAATTTGATATTATTTTCACTAAATGGAGCTCTGCTTATATCTAAAATGATCATCTGAGCTGTCAGAATATGCCAATTTAATATTTTTTTTATCAACACCCGTAATTATTTCCATTTTTTCTTATTTTTTAATATGTGTATTATTTTGATTTATATGAAACCACGATATTTACTGAATGAATATACACGGATTCTCGGATAGTAGACCGCATTATTCTAAAAAGAGATGACTTATTAGTTTTCAAACAAAATCAACTTTTGTACTGTTGATGAGCAATGCTCGAATTCTAGCTACGTTTATATTTTTGCAAAACGAAAATTGTAATTATACCGCGAATGTTTCCTTTAAACAAAAATCGAAATTTATCTCAAAGAGAAATTATGACTATTTCTAACTTTAAGGATGAAGTATAAAAGGGTGAAAATATGAAGAGTATGGCGAACGGAAAAATAAAAGTGTCCAGGGGCGGGAATCGAACCCACGACCTTCCGCTTACCGGGCAGATGCCATGTCCACTAGGCTACCCTGGAACTATTTTACCGTTCGTAAATATTATATAAAGTAATTTAAAATACAATATAACGCGTTGCAAAACAAAAATTGTAATTATACCGCGAATGTTTCCTTTGAACAAAAATCGAAATTTATCTCAAAGAGAAATAACGACTATTTCTAACTTTAAGGATGAAGTATGAAAGGGTGAAAATATGAAGAGTAATAGCGAACGGAAAAATAAAAGTGTCCAGAGGCGGGAATCGAACCCACGACTTTCGGCTTACCGGGCAGAGAAGATAAATGATAACGAAATGTAACGATATCGCGTATGAGATAAATTTCGATTTTTGTTTAAAGGAAACATTCGCGGTATAATTACAATTTTCGTTTTGCAATCATCGGCCGCGTTATATTGTATTTTAAATTACTTTTTATAATATTTACGAACGGAAAAATATGTCCAGTGTAGCCTAATGGACATGGCATCTGCCCGGTAAGCGGAAGGTCGTGGGTTCGATTCCCGCCCCTGGACACTTTTATTTATCCGTTCGCCATTACTCTTCATATTTTCACCCTTTCATACTTCATCCTTAAAGTTAGAAATAGTCGTTATTTCTCTTTGAGATAAATTTCGATTTTTGTTTAAAGGAAACATTCGCGGTATAATTACAATTTTCGTTTTGCAATCATCGGCCGCGTTATATTGTATTTTAAATTAGTTTATATTTTTATTCATGAAATATATTTTATTTTATCTATTTTTTATTGCAAAATAATGAAAATATAATACAGATCATAATTTCACATTTATTATATATTTATTATTTATATAAATCCTTGCTCTCCTAACTGCCTTCTTAAAGATAAAAATGGCGCATATGTTCGGTTAATTTCACTGGTTCTATACGTAATTGACTCTTTAAATCCTAAGTTTTAGTTGGCGCGCGAGTTGTTGTTGTTGTCGTGTCCAATGAAGAGCCTCAAATGTATCCGTGCATCTCTATCACAGCAGTCGCAATGTCCACTATTTTGGGTATGTGAAGCTGCTGCTCAGAGTTCATGTTAATTCTCTGCAAGGTTACGGCCATTGCTGGGAATGTCTATATGTGGGTAGGTGTTAGTTACACACCAGGACAGTTGTTACTGTAGGTACTTGAGCCATCTGGATGTATTGTCATTCCTTTATAGTGAAGAGAAAAACTGAGGTCTGGCGCGCAGGTTTTCATTAAGAATGCAGCCAACACCCCAGGATTTGAATATCCAACTTCTAAGTAATTGATCTTACACACACTTTATTTTATAATATCGCAATTTATATATAGACAATTTAAACACGTGACCAGATATAGTTCGTCAAATATATATCAAAAATATACACAGAATAATTATTTTGAAAATACAGCATTCCATAAATATATATTTAATTAAAAAGGCATATATTGGATAAATATATAATTTATTATACCAATATATCAGTTGGCTGAACTCCAACCTTTATAAAGGTATCATAACATATTAATGTGTGTCAACAACATTGTTATAATACGTTTTAAAATATTGGCGTTCAGTCAACCAAAATATTAGTATAATTAATTATATTTTGATACAACATATGCCTTTTTAATTGAATATTAATTGATTATAAAAATTCCAACATAGCATATAAATCAATTTGTAAAATATATATGGCACCATCATCCATTATATCACACACAACATTTTGTATTTATTCAATAAATCTAAATAAAATATATCCAACATGGAAATAAAAATATTACAACGTATAGATTATCCAATATCTTAAATTCAACATTGCAATTACAGTAAAACAGTCATCAACTACTATCCACTATTATCATTTTGGCCTGTATTATATGTACTAGTTATAAAATAATAGATTTGATCTATAGTTTTATTTTATATAAAAATCAGCTCATTTTAAAAATCATTAAATTCAAAATTAAAAGCTATATTTACATTTAAAAATTTATTATATTATATTTAAGTATAATTTAATGTTAAATGTATATATTTGTTTGACGTTTGTTTCCTCTGTATTAGGCGAAAATATTTCAATATCGCGCCTGGTTGATTAATAAATTAATTTTAAAAATTAAATTTTTCAAATTCTTAAAAAAAAAAAACATTTAAAGATAAATTATCGATTCAAAGTTATATATATATATATTAATTTGTCTATGCTATATATTATTTTAGCACACCAAATGTAATCTGTGCAAAAGGAAATTCGTTTTTTTTCGATACGACAAATAATTACTGTGTGATAAATGATCAGAACATCGTACCTTTATATTCCATCAATTCTTGTTATTAAAATTCTACAAAGTAAATAATGATTGTCTTTCCGTATACACATTGAAGAAAGATTTACTATAACACATGAAGATAAATTGTAAATAGGAAATCTCTATTTATTTAGAAACGATACAGAAATCCTTGTATAAACACGATTGGATAATAGCATCAACTTAATACAATATTTCATTCTGATCGCATTCAATTTCTCACGTTGAAGTAGAATATCCAACAGGAAGAACAGGCTATTTATTTATTTCAATATGCTCCATAATAAATCTCTTTTAAATGTCAGAAAGAAAGAGAAATTTGAGGAAATGAAACAGGGTTTACAAACCATCTGTCTCAAGTCTCCATCTCCTATAAAAATGGAACAATTCTTAATGGTTCTTCTGACACTAATTCTAGGCTCCATTAATTTGAATCCGGTTGCCATGGAAATTAAGTTACAATAATTGGAGCTCGAGAGACAAAAACGTGAATCGCTTCTTAATAGTTTGCACATCGTAAATTTTGCGTTAAACAGCTGGGTCTTGAATATTCACCATGTTTCACCACATTACCATCTAAATAACCTGATTTCACATATTTCAAACTACTCTTAATATTCTATCTTAACGATTATTTCTAATCGGAATGTGTGGAGTGAGTTTGAAAAGATTATATATTTTTTTAAATTTCGATTTTTTTTCTTTTGATGAATTACCTCTTTCGAAAATTGTAAATTTTGTAACTCACACACAAATATAGATCTATTTTAATACATTCTAAAGTATTTATTTTACCATATTTTGTATGCTACTTTATTCAGTCTCTCTCTTTCTCTAGGAATGTTTTCTTACGTTTGACGGATTCTATTAAGCAGAGGAAATAAGACTATTTTTATATTAAATGTATATATTTCAAATATTTTTTTTTTGTTTCTGTTTCACATATGTATATAGTAAAAAAAAAGCACGTGGTTAGTTTTTAATTAATAATTAATCGGCCAATTATGAAATAATAAAAAAATCAACGATTGGTTGATAATTATTCCGATAGATGGCGCAAGCCATCAGCAAATTTCAGTTTAACGCTCAGGAGATGCCACCTGATCCAAGTACAAATTCTATTTTGTAATATTTTCCACATATGTATATATATATAATATAATAATAATATATTATATTCTATATATTCACTTCATATAATTTATTAAGTCATTATTCATATATGTTTGTATATATAATCTTCATTTACGCGCAGACATGGATATTAGCTACAAGATATTAGCATTGAAGATACAGAAGCTGTGAAAAGTGAATAACATCTTTCGAGAAATTCAAACCTTATTTTTTAACGAAGCTCTATCCGAGTTCATGAAACTTGTTGCTTTCACAATATCGTTATGGAGTTCATCATATATTACGTATATGTACTTTTAGCTCTTTATATTGGACCCCCTTCACTTTGAGAGAGCAGGGATTACAACCTCCATTCGGTTTTGACGTTTTGGTACTTTTATAGATTCACGTGTCAAAATAACATGACCATATACCTTATATACCATATATGCCACATACCATATATGACCATATACTTTTGAATGTACACAGTCTAGCCATAAATTCTGTTACAAACAATTTTATAAATTAAATGATTAAGAAAAAAAAACTAATGGAATATAATTACATATTTTATTAGCCAATAGGACATAGATTTTAAATATATACAATCATTTAAAATGTCCTCCCTTATTTTTGACACAGGATCTCAAACGTTCGGGCCACTGATCTATGGCGGCACGCGCATTTTCTAAGGTTATTTCTTTCATTGCTCTCACCAATGCTGATTTCAATTGTTCCAAATTATGATATATTTTATAGAACACCTTCTCCTCTAAATATGCCCACAAGCTGTAATCAAGGGGGTTTAAATCAGGGCTTCCAGAAGGCATTCATTGGCCTTTATGAACTTCGGAACATTCGTCTCCAACCATTGTTGAGTTGACTTAGCTTTGTGAGCAGAAGCTGAATCTTGTTTAAATATCCAATGTTCTCCAATAAACATTTTTGTATTCAGAGGCTTTACTATTTGTTCCAAAATATCTTCTTTATAGTTTTTAGCTGTAGTTTTCACCCCTTTGGCACAGAAGTGGAGATCTGTTACACCTTGGTAGCTAACTCCACACCAAACCATGACAGAAGAAGGATGGTGATTTTTCCAAGTTTTCTGACTTTCAAAGAAGCTTCTCTAGAGAGCTACGAGCATATATCATACAATTCTATTGATTAATCTTTTCCTCGACAGTGAAAATTTTCTCGTCTGTAAAAAGAATTCTCTCATGCCACCGACCATCATTCAGTGCCAACAACATTTTTGATCTAACCCTTCTAATATCTCTAAGAGCAGGGGTTATCAAATGACCTGTGCGTCGTTTGAAAGCTCTCAGTCCAAGGTCTTCGTTGATTATCCTGGAAACGGTTCTTGGAGAAAAATAGATCTGCTTTGCTAAGATCTTTTGTTTGCGGCGTGGATTTCGACGGATTCTTTCGCGAATGGCTTTTATAGCTGCTTGCGTTCGTTGCACGCGCGGTCGACTAGATATTTAAAGGTCATTAATAGTGCCAGCCTTGTTGAACCTTTCAATGGTTCGATAAACAAATTCACGCGTAATATTCAATTTTTTTAAAAGTTTAAAAATGGATGAAGGACTTTGGCCTACCTTGTGTATGGCTATTACAGCTATACGGTTTTCTTTAACAAATTCAAAAACAAATATATTCAGTTTTTTTTCTAAACATGTGTGCACGAGATATCCAAATAACAACTACTGTATTTTGAATACTTCACGCGGTCAAATTAAAATTTTTATCACTGATTTGGTTTTGTAACAATATTTATGGCTAGACTAAGTATATTTGTGTATTAGATCGTTCACAAATGGATCCTTCTCAGTGGAAATTATTGTGAACCTTGAAGAAGCTGATTTTATAAGGGAAAATTCTTCTTAAAAAAAATATTTATTGATATATCAATATATATTCGAATATCTTTATATGGCCTTATATATGTGTGTGAGAGAATCTTTACCTGAACATATCAATATATAATCTTATAAGAAAATGATAATAAAGCAGTTAATAAAATTATTATCTTCCAAGTTTAAATTCCATGGTTAAATTTATTCTAAACGATACTTGAAGTTACACCGCATGAGTTTCTTTTCGATGAAAAA